CCCCCAAAACCCCAAAACCCCAAAACCCCTTCTAATTCATCTTGACTGAAGTAAAAAGATATAAATTAAAATAAGAACTAAAATTCCAGAAATGGAGAGGATAACTTTAAACAACTCTTATGATACTCCAATGCCAAGACATCATCTAAATCGAACATTAGAAGACTTAAGGTACACCAAAATCTCTCCAATTCTAACCACAACCTTTAGAGAAAGCCCTTACTCTAAACCTCAGAAGCCTTCCCTAAGACTTGATTTATCAAGACTCTCACATAACACTCGTATATCCATTCTAACCCCTAGGACCGGCATACAAGCCTCTATCTTCCCTAAAACTACAACTTAATCCGTACAGATTCGTACTGCCTCCCAAGCAGTCTCGGTTATCAACCAAAGTAAGCCATGAATGAATTATCAAGCTAGGAAGAAGGCAAAGAGCTAAGCCAAGGTGGCCAAACAAGGTCGAATCTCCTAAATTCCGCTAAAATTCATAGCTCCTTAACCAACAGTAGTCTCTTAAAGTAAGAATAATCCTTTTGAATGAAAATGTATGAAATTTTATAGGAAAACTGAAGCTTCGATATTTAACTGGATCAAGCACAGGAATAATGTCAGCCTCAAAAAGTCTAATCATTCCTTACCCAAGGCGAAGAAGTCTGATGATATCGTTATTAGAGAACAGTACCATATGAAACCGATGCCCAGATTCAAGCTGAGTAAACCCCTAGTTCCTGTAAAAAGTAATTCCTAGTTTTAAACTTAGACCAAATAAATCCTAACAACGGCACTCGTAAGTGAAGGTATATGGTCGATTTTTACAAGCAGAAATAAAGAGTAAGCCATGGGGATTTAACCAAAAACAACTAGAGTTATGACTTAATTTAGGCCACAAAAACCAATTTTTCTGGGGACGCGTAATCAGACCAGAGTCCAGATAGATATTCAAAAATAAGGTCAAAAGGAACATCGACCAACAACTATTACAGTTTCTCAATAAGAGGAAAGATCCGATCAACCAGCAGGTTTATAAGATTGATAATGATACCAGCAATGAGTATCATAAAGGATTCATCTTTGGTAAGCATTATATCCGAAACTTACTTAATCCTCTTAATTTAATATACTTCTCTAGACCATGAGACTTTTAAGAACGGGGTAGAATCTAGAAATACAAATGAGATAGGTCCTGTCAGACATACCAAATCACAGAAGATAAAGTGGTAACTCAGCCATAATTCGAACTAATGTTTCAATTTAGAATAAAAATCTTGGGGTTTTGGGGTTTTGGGGTTTTGGGGTTTTGGGGTTTTGGGGTTTTGGGGTTTTGGGGTTTTGGGG